GGCAAATCAAAATAAAACTAGTGATAACAAGGTGCTCCAATTGTTTTTGTTGTAGAATACAATGGGGGATATATTCACACGTTATAGGAACGAAAATTATGGTGTATAAAATTGATTTTAAGATTGAAAAATAGACGGTAAAGAATTAACTTGACGGAGCTTCAACTCAAAACACGCGGCAGCAACAAACAAATTATTACATGTAGAAATACAAATAGCTAAATTTTCCTTGGAGATCAGGTTGAATTAATCTTACCCACAGCTAACAATTCTGGCATGCTTCAGTCCCAGACCCTCGTTTTCACCTCGTGAATGTTTGCCGAGGTGTGTGATATCAAAGCGTTTGTCTGAGCCGACAACTTTGGTGCTGATGCAGTGACCAACTGCATTTTTCTCAACGTGGACAACACCAAAATTCCCATCACATCTCTGCTGCCAGTAGACTATCATTGTTCACTTAGAACACAATCAACAATACTAATATAGCACTTGTGTTTACATGAGAGAGAAACATCAAATATTCATGATGGAATATTAAGGAACTGACTCACTTCAGCAAAAAACAAATGGAACATCATGCTTCAGGAAGGTCTGTCCACTGAGGATAGCAGCAACAGCGGTGGGGCCGCAGCGGAAGAAGTCCTGAAGAAGAACTAAGAAATTATATGAAAAAATGAAATGAAAAACAAAGTATGAAAGGAAAAGTAGGAGAGTGATAGCAAAAATTATCAACTTCAGAGACTCTATAGATGGTTAAAATGTCTATACATTTTATTTGCTGGTGGGAATTTGAAATGTTAAAATGCAAAGGTTTGAGTGATTTATTGCAACAGTGTAAAATGTAATGTTTGCAATGAATAGTACTTAAACCAGATTGAATTACAGTTCATGTGATCAGTCAGCTGAAATTTCTCAGCCAAATAGACATCAGTTGTCCAACAGACATCAGTGTCATGAGCAGAACAGAAGTTTGAAACTGGACGAGCAGGAATGCCCAAACACCTCAACACTACAAGAAAGTGAAGAAGAATATAAGTGCATTACATCTACAATCATTTTCTTGAATTTTTTTTCTTCTTGTCCAGTCTGCAGAAACTCTTACATGTGTTGGTGACTCCAGCAAAGGCCAAGCTCTGTCCATATTTGACAGGTATTCCTCCACATGTGTAGTACTCTTTCAGGATGGCACTGCTGCTGCACCAGGATGAGGGAGCAGTTCCATCTCCATAGCAGTTTGACCAGTTACCCACCAGCACACCACAGTCTTTATTGAAAATAACCTAAAATAAAGGGGAAAAAAATTATATTATTGCTCTGGTGCAGAGCAATAATACTATGTTGCTATAGTATTATTTCTTAACTGAAAATTCAGTGTTTACCATTGTAATTTTGCATTAATGACACTATTTTCCTAATTAATGCTGTACAGTTGCTTTGACACAATCTGTATTGTTAAAAGCGCTATATAAATAAAGGTGACTTGACTTGACTTGACAGAGCTGTCATTTAAAAATGTAAAAGCAGGTATTTATGCAGTATTGTCACACACAAAATGAGTACAGGTAAAGCAGGACACTGTTTTGTCACTGGCGTTGTTTTGTATAATATGATCCAAATGGCTATTGGCTACATCAGTGTAATGTCATAGTAGTTTTTTGGCATAAACTTGATGCTGATTATTAGTAATGGAAGAATGTACACATAATGATAGATGATTAAGATTAAGTCATGTACTTGTATGTATTTGCCCTAGAGTACCAAAGGTGACACCTACTCACCTAATTTTTTAATTATTTATTTATATTGGTTAAAAGTCGGTGACTGGTACTGTATTTAAATCATGTACAGTTTGCTCTCTGGTTCATACTGTTGCACTGGAGTTGTATGAAGATTGTTCAACCAAAAACCACACACTACAATGTTGCTACTAAATTTTGCTCCTCAAACTACCACTAATCTGAGTTTAAATTACTTTATTTTTACAATATTTATTAATGGCAATTACGGAAAAAATATGGAGATCAAACTACATGAGTGTTCTGCTTTGCAAGTTGCGAAAGACTACCATTTGTGTCTATCTGTGAGTAGTGTTTTTAAATTTCAGTCGATGTCAATCATGTGCACTGCCATCCATTATTTGTCATTTGTTAAAGTCCCACCCACTTGAGAGCTCGCCCAATCATCATATAGAGAAGCCAGACTTCCAGGTGGGTTTAAAATGTTACCAAATATATCAACTCTGAAGGACAAATCAAGTGACTCTGGTTAGAGAGTAGAGATCAGACTCAATAAACATAATAAGAATTGATAAATAGTTAAGGTAACGCATACTAAAGCTAGGAATGTGTAGCCTTGAGATAAACACAAAAAAACATTTCCCACATACTAAATGCATTCAATTTTAAGGTATGATGCAAGGCACAATGTGAAAATGAATGCATACAGTAAATAGATAAATGAACAAAAACAATTTAGATCTGAAATTGTTTCATGTTTCAAAATGACATTTGTTAAGGATGTGAAATATAATGAACTTGAATAATATAATGAATATTAATAATATAATGAACGCTTTTATGTCTGTCTGTACATGCATGCAGCTATTTAAAGAGAGCTCTTAAAGACATTATGTTCTTGAAAGAATTAAACTGTCTGCCAATAAATTTTCATAAAGACTATTGTAGTAAATTTTAAAAAAAAAATTTCACACGATAACCAATATGGTTATGACATATCATGCTTGCCTAACATTCAGTCAATGTAAAGTTGACCACAGAGAAGCATCCATAGCAACACAACCCTTCCTAATACTCTAGTAGAACAAGTAGAGAAGGTTTAAAAAAAATACATTCACCAAACACAGCAGATAAACACTGAAAATAAATAACAGATTTGGCAGCCAGAAGCTAAGTGAATGAAGCTCAATGAAGCTAAGTAGAAAAGAGAGGAGAAAATGCCCCAACCTTTCCAAATGCATGTTTTTCTTTTCCAAGACAAATCCAGTGACCATCAACACTGTCCTGTGTGGTTCCTGCTGTCTTGGATTTTTCTGTATTGATGGACTTGGTCTGCAGCATGTCAGATTAATTATGGGAAAGACTGACTAGAGCATTATAATAATTGTCTGTAATACATAATAGAGATTATTTTGGAGATTATAAAATGCCTTACAGTAGACAGCCGTATCAGAGCAACCCTGTTTTTCTAAAGTACAGTGCTGAAAGCTCATTGAGCACTTCTTGAGTTTTTCCGCCCAACATCTTCATCAACTGTGCCACACCATCCCATATTACATTGATTTCACTGATTGAACTAAATGATTATGGTTTGATAAACACAATGGAATGGGAGATGCACTATGTTACAATGTAATTGTAGTAGTTATAATTAGTTCTCAATCTTTCTCGCTGTTTTTCAGTGACATTTCAAGGCTGACCACACTGAGTCTGACATTTATTCTCATGCAAAATGGCACATGAAATTGAATCGCTTGACTTTTCTTAATTTTCTCTTGAAGTTTGACTTGCCAAGATAATTGTCAGGAAAAAATGAACTAAAATTATTTCACCCAAAGATATTTTAAGTAAAGCCATTTTGACATGGATTGATTTCGAATTGGATTAAAGGATGGATGGAATGATATATGGATGGATGAATGAATGGACCAAATGATGGATGGATGGACGGTCGGACAGAATGAATACTGAATGAATGAATATTGTCCTTTTCATTGTTTTCTGTCAAGTTTGACCAGAATTACTAGACACGCTATAGTCATATCAATTTGCTAAAGCCTTTGTAGAGTCATTATTCTTTTAATAATGTGCTGAACTGTTGAGTTATGGATGTATTTGAGTAATTTTGATTTAATTAGTCATATTAAAGGCTATTTCTCCTTATTTTCTCATACACCTTCTGGGTGGAGGATAAGGTTCAGGTTGGGGATGGTGAACAATTATATTGTAAAACATGAAAATTAAACAGGTCATTTTTTCATAAATTCTCTTGCATGAGAATTTTCATACTCAAATTTTCTCTGCTTTTCAACTTTATGAGTCATTCTATTTAATAGCTGACTAAAAGTCATATATCAAAGAGTCGTCCTTGTTCTGACAATCATGATAAATAATTTTAAGAATAATGGACTCTTAACAATACTGCAGTTTAATTTTGTATAATTATGCACTATTACATATGTATCAGAGCTAATTTTGCCTTAAAATCTCTTATCTAATCTCTTTGTTGAACGGAGCTTATTTCCTTCAAATGTATGTAAAAGAAATGATTTTCTGCATTGCATATAATGCATAAATCATTGTGCTACTCACAACTCTATTAATATAATAAGATTAACAAACAGGGTCATTAAGAAATATGTAGACATACTTTGCTTATAGAATGTTTCTGATATTTCAATCTCTGGGAGAATATTAATATATACTGCAATAAGTATAATTAGACATACACATTAAGAATAAATAAATAAATAAAAATGATTGTGTGTATATATATATATATATATATATATATACACACACACACTAGTTTTATTACTGTTGTCAATATCTTGGTGTATCCAGCATAGACAGTATCACACTGATTTTAATGGGTTCTATTCTCTGGTATAGATGTTAGTCTGAAAAAAATGACTTTAAAGGTTCAGAACAATTAAAATAAGATGTAATTTGTCCCATTAATTCTCTAAAAGAGACCATTAAAATTAATATGACTCAAAATCCTTTAATCCCTTTCTTAAGAGGACAATTATTCACACTCTTCAGCTATGAGCTGTGGATGGGGTGGAGATGGAGATGTAGTATAAATATCCCGTCTGCTGTAGAGACAAACAACAGTACGAGCGACAAGCTGGTTAAAGCAGGACTTACTGTTCACTTGCTGCAGCACGTCGAGGTTTCGGTTCAGTTTCTCTTGAACAGACAAGGACAAAATCCATGTAAGTAATCATCTCAGACATTGTTTGAAACGTATTATTAATTTCTATTAGAAAGCTTACATCTAGAATTCATAGGCTGTTTTGTGGATCAAGAGTTGGTTAAAAACCCAACAACATCTTTATCAGATTATTATTTCTGAAGTCTTTCCTTTTCTGGTATGATTGTATAGTTTATATAGTTAAACATTTTGGCCTGATAATTTTGGGAACAGCCTAATGTTCTCATGTTAGGATATGTTTTTGCTGTCCAGTAATTGCAGCTTAAAAAGAAACTGGGAATCTGATTTCTAAGAACAAAGAGACCTTATTTATGAATTATTAACCATCTACTGACCAATTACAGATCACACTCATGTCTCTCATTTCTTTCTTTTTTGCCCAGCATGCCTTTTGTATACAACCCATACAAAAACCTCTGCACCGTTGGCCGTTTCCCAGCCATTAAACTGCAGGAGGACGACTGCAGGAAAGCAGCATGCTACACACCGGTTCACACCAACCCTTGCGTTAACCCATGCACAAGCTCTTGTGTCAAACTTAATGTTAACCCCTGTACCAACCCTTGCTCTAAACCTTATGTAAACCCTTGGGTAAACCCTTGCAATATCCCTTATGCTTACCCATATGTCAACCCTTGTGTTAACCCATGCGTCAACCCTTGTGTTAACCCATGCGTTAACCCATGTGCTGCTCCATACACTAATCCTTGCAACTTTGTCACTCCATGTCATGATTATGAGAAAAAGGAAGTCGTCATCAAGGAATTTGTGGATGACTGTACAAGCAAGCGAGTCTGTGGAGTCGATGGTAAGAGTCTTTGTGTTTTCTTTATCTTTGTCTTGAAATGGGAAATGTGTTATTCCTACTCGTTATAACTCAATGAATGATTTGTTTGATAACTAATTACCTGTTCTCTGCTTTTATTTTTTCTCAGATGCTGTTCTCCGGGTGTGTAAAGTTGACCTTCTCAAATGCAGGACCGGACAGAATCGTCAGGAGCATCACACACATTGTTTCCTTGATGATCATCTCATTGTCCGCAGAGGACAGTGTTTCAACATGTGGGTTGATCTGTGCCGTCCTTTCAATCCCAGTTGTGACAAGCTTCACCTGGAGCTCAAACTAGGTTAGTTTCGATATGACCCATGACAATAGAGGATATACTGTATCTACATATGTGGAGGAGGAACATGTGAGGAGCTGAACCAGCATTTCTACCGTCACTGGAATCTCTTGTTCTTCTCTGTGTTTTACAGGTCACATCCCATCCATCCGGGACGGCACTTATGTGATCGTTCCAATAGTGGAAGAATTCAAGAAAGGCTGCTGGGGGGCAAAAATTGTGGAACAAGGCCAAAACCGAATCAAACTGTGTGTCCACTCTGTTCCGACTGCTTGCGTTGGACGATACCAGCTCAGTGTCATGACACACTGTCCAGGAGGCAGATTCACTTTACCTTATGTTCCTGAAAATGACATTTACATGCTGTTCAACCCCTGGTGTAAAGGTATGTGTTTCATTATACTTTAAAATAACAACTGAAACCTAAATATGAAAATGTAATAGAATGAGGAAAGAAAGCACTATTAAAACTCCATGAAGCTTTTCCATTTAAAGTCCAATGTTCTCTTTATCAGATGACTGTGTGTACCTGAGTGATGAGGCGGAGAGAGCTGAGTATGTGCTGAATGACATGGGCAGAATCTACTATGGAACTAAGCAGCAGATTGCCTGCAAAACATGGAATTTTGGTCAAGTAAGAGCCAAAATGTCATTAATATATTACGAAAGTTCAACTGTATCTATATACATGTTTATGATATGTCAGAGACAAAGGTACCGCTATGGTTTCTGTTTTTTCCTAACCTTCCCATATCCGAGATATAATTCCACAGAAGAAGTGCACAAGATAGCATGAAGGTTGTTTCACAATCTCTAATTTTTTCCCTCTCTGATCTGTGATTCTTAGTTTGAGAAGGGAATCTTGCCTGCATGTATGTATGTGCTGGAGAAGAGCTGTACACCTTGCTCAGGGTGGGGAAGCCCCATTGACATTTCCAGAGTGGTATCTGACATGGTGAGTCTTCATTTCCATTTCCTTCTTATCAACACCCTGATTTCATGTTGGAAAGCCTTTAAAAATGGTCAGATTTGTTCTTTT